TCATGTGACTGGGTGGGCATGGCTAGGGAGTCATGTGACTGGCTGTGTGTGTGTCAAAAGGCAGAAACTCACTTTAACAATGTCCTGCTGGAGCAGGGGGTTGGACTAAATGACCTCCAGGTCCCTTCCAGCCATGGATTGCTGTGCTCTTTCAAGGTATCCTCTGATGCTGCGCCTAGTGCCAGGTCTGTGGTCCTTCCTCCCTCTCCTTTTTCCGCCTTCCCTTCCCCTCTCTCTCTCTCTCTCTCTCTCTCTTTCACAGCACACCCCACCCCATGTTTTTGGCCTAGCAGGCCTCAGGGAAGCCTCCTAGGAGCAAAATTGGACCCCAAATGCTTAAAAAAAAGTTCCTACCATCACATAGCACATTGTCAGATTGTCAGAACTTTTTTTACTTTGTTAAGCATTTTTTACTAATGGTTTGGGCGAACCAGCCCAAACCAGTAGGATTTCATCCCTAATTCAAAGGCATTTCTAATATGGCAGGGAACTAATTTCTCTAATCCCAGACAATTCAGAGTATTTCTGAGTTACATAAAATTAGAGACAGCCTCACTAATCTCCCTCCTGGAAAATTAAGACTTGGGTGGCTAATAAATTTAAAATGATCAGGATCATGATGATAAATATATAACCTTCATGGCAACATATTCTCAAAATTCCAAGCAAGATTACCTACATTGTTCTAACCTAATGGTTCAACCGATAATCATCACACTGAATCCACAATCTTCAAATCTATTACTAATAAGGTTGTATAACACCTCTTAACAACCATTTCCATTTTATTGTAAAGCTAAATCAACAGCATTCCTCTGTCTAGGAATAGGAAAAGCATAAAGCCATTACCTTCTCTATTTCCTGCCTTTGTGGAGAAGAGAACAGTGTTTGAGGTTTTCCAATTCTCCAGCCTTCCCTAGCAGCCTTCCCATGGCTTTTCATTTTGCAGATGGACTGACCACATTTTGAAATGAAGTTTTCATTCATATACAAAGAAGAATATGCAGAATCTTTCATTTCCTTTTGCTCAATAGGAAGTGGGAGGCTTCTTGACAAGCAACACCAAGTCAGCTGAGGCTCCGCATTTAGAGTTGGGAAGGATAGATTCAGGCTTGGGATTTGTAAGTTTCCCGCATGAGATTCTATGCTTAATTGAGGCTGGGAGCAAATCTCCTTTGGTTGAGTACACAGCACATGACAATAGAGCATATTGGAAGAATGGCAAAGACATTTCGGACTGCTAACTGAACAGGTGGGCAAGTCTTCAAATCCTGGCAAAGGGTTAGTCTCCAGTTGCCATTCCTTGACTTCCTTCTCGCTACTTTCACACAAAACTGCCCTTTCCACCAACGAAGAAAGTGAAATTACTGAACTCTTCGCTGATTGTATTAACTTTAAGGCTGAATTTTGCCCAGTCATGTCTGATGATAAGAAAAGCCCTCCTGTATAAATTGTGGTAAAGCATACTTTCCTCCCAGGAATGTGTGATGTGCAAGCAACTATACATTCATCCTCTTTTGTTATCAATCTCTGTTCATCTAAGTTGTCTCTATTGTCTGCTTTACATGTATCTTTAACTTTCCTACTTGCACTTCGAAGATGACATTTTTGATCTACCATGGTTGTAATTGTTGTTGCTTCAAGGAGGGTTGGAGCAGGAGCTCCCAAAGGTGTCCATGTTGTAGGCATGTCCCACTTTAGCTCTTTTCTCCTGGCTGGATGACTCAGATCCAATTGCAAAGGGCACACAGTTACATCAATGGAATTACTATCAAGTAGTTTATTGTTACAGGCAGGATATGGGGAAATGGTTGAGCTGCTTGGCAATGAAGCATACGGTATATTTTCGGGCTCCCTTGTAAGAAACAATGGCACACCTATCTTGTTTCCTTCTTGTGAATATTTTAAGATGTACTTCGGAAGAAAATCGTTTTTCTTTAGATGAGAAACCACTTGATTTCTTACCTCATGCTGAGTGTGGGTTGGTGCTGAGTCTCTACAGTTTGATAATTCTTCTGTTGCTGTTGTTATGGGAGATGTGAGGTTTTTTATTGCAAACAAATTACTGGTTTGTTCCTCTGTTACATCGGTCTTGAATTGTTCAGGAAATGATGTGGCAGAGATATTTGCTGTATCTGTTAGACTTACAATACAATCCCTATCATTAGATACTGTTAGAGAATGTTGGATTCCTTCCTCACATTCCATACTACTACCTGAAGCCGGTGTTCCTACCATTACTGTCCATTTCCCCCCCTTACCTGAGTCCTTTGCTGATTCTGCAGCAACTATGTTAAGATTGTAACAGTCTATCAGTTTCACAACCAGCTCGGTTGAACTACTATTTTTAAATGTTATCTTTTCCACGTTTTTCAGTTTATCCACCTTAGGCTTTTTTCTTTCTGAGGGTAACTTCTGAGATTCACACACCAACTCACTGGTGTTGCACTGTGGTGCTGATAAAGCTGTGTGTCCAAGGTGGGCAGTTTCTTTCCCCCTGCATCCTTTTCTGTTAGCTGTGGTATCCTCATATTTTTGTACACATTCAGTAATGTGTCCATGTGCATCTTCTAAGTCATGATCATGCCAAGTAGCAGGGTTCAGCTGAGTTTGCTTCAGTTGGACTTTCAATTCACAACCTTTCCTTAAAGGCAAAGCTTTACTATTGCCACTCTGGCTGTGTTTTGAAACACGCAAGTCTCTGCATCGATGTTCAACAGATGACGTTTCATTTGCTATGCTGTGTTGTTCACAATCACCAACCGAACCCAGTGTTTCTCTTAATTCTGCCAATCGCCCTGAATTCTCCTGAGAAAAAGTAGAGTGACCAGCAGGGCTGGCTTTGGCGTGGCTTTCCAATGTGTCTGGATTTGCTTTTGCGGTAACATCTACTAGTGGTGAAATTATGTTTCCAGTTTCAGAGCTTCGTCCTTCTCTCGACAATGTAATTTCCTTCCCACAGGCAGTTTCCTTGGTATCTGAATAAATGTTGGAAATATTTGTTAAATTACCTTTTTGTTTTTTGGTTGGTTGACTGTTTTTCACCTTCTGATAAATTTTCTTAAATGTCTCATCCCCATAAACTTGCCATTTTTCCTGAGAAAACATTTTTAATTTTCTCTGACTGGGTTTCTTATTCTTGCTGTTCACTCCTTCCACCCCAGCTTCAGATTTCTGTTTACCGTTTTTCTCCTCTAAAGAGAGCGAAGATTCAGTCATATAATTTAATGGCACATCATCTACTGCCACCTGTCTAACAAGTGCCCGGGGGTGGCTGTTAAGAACGTTTGTCATATTTGTGTCTAAATTGCTGCTATGCAACAAGCCAGAAAAACACACATCTGGGGATACTCTGGAGAAAGAAGACAATTTTGAACTGTCTGCCTGGTCTTGCGTCTTCTTTGTACTCTCAACAAAAGGCAGAGAGTTACTTCTTGTAACAGGCACACAGTCAATTGTTGTTGAGAATTGAGTGGGAACCGAGTGAAAAAACAATGGCTTAGTTTTTTCCGCAGGAGTGAAGATAGACTTGGCTGAGCGCAGAGAAATATTCTTTTTCTTGCTGGTGTCCAGAGGCCGTATATCAAAATGGAATGAGTCTTTGTACATGTAAGGCATTGGCAAGTCAATGCTTCCTTGTTTGGATAGAATCGTTTTCCGGGGCCTAACACTGTCCAACTGGGTGTCATCCACAACTGCTTTATTATGAGATATTAGCCTTGAGATATGCTCTTCCAACCTTTTTTTCTCCAGGGTTATGGCTCCTGTTGCTTTATCAGTTGAATCTACTTTTGAGAAACTGTAAGTCATGCATTTATTGGTGACAGCTGCTTCATCTTCTGACTCCGTGCTATGTTCACAAAGGCTGTGCAGGAAGCCAGGCGAGGGTGTCTGATGTTCCACACTATCAGAGCGTGACAGATACCCCGAGTCAGTGCTCTCACACTTTTTTAGCTTGATGTCCACAGATCTGTTGTTCCACAGCTTCTCTGAATACAGAGCTTGCTGTCTCTGTAGCTGACTATGTCTGCTTCCTGTTGGAGACCTTTGATCCTGGATCTTCTTTCTCTGAGGTAGATCTGTGGCATCTCTGGCAGTCTCTTTTTCAAATACATTCTGATTTATTTCTCCATGACAGGAGTTACCCGTTTTCACCCTCTGACTTTCCGAAACAAGGAGAGTTTCCGATAACGAAGTAGCAAGAATATATTTGTCACTGGGCTCCGAAGCAGCAGATCTAGTCCTTGTACTTGGCTGGACATCATTTTTATCATGAGATTCTATGGTCTGGGAGGATGTAACTATCTCAGTCAACTTCTCATTCTCTTCTAGTAGACTACTGCTATCAGATTCTGAAGGCACCCTGGCATTATTGACATGGGTCTGAGTTCTCCTGTGTTTATACAAATTGCTTTGAGTTTTAAACGCAATGCCACATGTTGTACATGGAAAAGGCCTCTCACCTGTATGTGATCGCATATGTTTCTCAAGGACACTTGGCTTCAGACAGTCACGCCCACAATGTTTACACAGGTACTTCCCAGAACTTTTGGCCTTCCCTGGACTTCCAGTTGGTGCACCTGGAGAAGAACTTTGTGGCAAAAGTGAAAAATGACTAACCATGTTTATTGTACTGGGTTGCTTCTGAATGATTGCCTGAAGTTGATCTGTCCCTTTCGAATGCAGGAGTGGATTGAGGATTAAAGGTAAATTGCTATTGTCTATGGTGATATTTGTCTGGACTCTGGAAAGTTTATGGTTTGATTGAACAGGTTGGTAGAAAGGAATAGTTAGCGCCTTTAAATACACAGTTTGAGCAAGTGCTTGTTCTGGCTGGAGAATCATGGGACCCAGCAAGAGATCTGATGCTGCTGGGATGGCCTGAAGGCAGGAGAGCTGAACTGGTGGGTCTTCTAAGGAAACAGGTGGACAAGGAAGACTCTGCCCCTCCATTTCCTTTAGATGGTCCAACACTGAATTTGGGCCTATCTGTGGGAAACAAAGAACACCTACATTTGAAATCAGAACACATTTTCCTCACTTTCAAAAATAGATCACGACTACCCTGATGCCGTCACTATATAGGCACATATTAACCAATATATACATTCATCCATGAGTTTTTTTTTAAGTTTATTCTTTTAAAAGTCATCACAGGCAAATACACATCTAATGCACATTTCTACATACTTAGTAACAGATACTTTAGGCTTCACTATGATCATATGTTGAAGACTAACTATATGATATTATTATTTGTATTCAAATAAAAAATATATTGTGAGATACTATTTAGTTGCTTATAACAAAAATGAAGGTAATATCCTACAATCATTGATTTCTAACAAAAATAAATGAAATAAAATGAAAAATCTTGGGAGATTTTGGCAGTCAAATGCACGGATACTTAAAGGTATGGATTTACAGGTCTTATACAGAGTCTTGCAACTATTTGTTCTTTATTTTTGTGTCTGAGCCATTGCAAAACTGCATTTGAACCCAGAAAAAAATGCACAAATGTGATGTACTTATGACAAGCAATTGTGTACTGTATTTGAAGCACACTGAGAAAGAATGCCAAATGTTCAGGCACCATTGGAGGGAAATGAAACTGAAGGATGGGAGCAATTAAAATTGAATCAATACATCCTCTTCTGGACTACAAATAGACATTGGCAGGATTCAATTATCAGTATACTTGAAGGGCTGCTTTTAATAGTAATCAGTTATGCATGACACACAAACAAAAGATCCTCAAGAGAGAATCAGGTTTAATGGCAAAAGGTCAAAGCACCTTTTGAAATAAATTGAAAAACAATAAAGGCACAACATAATTATAATAGATATTTAAAAGTCATGAATATTACATTATAATATTTAATAACTAAGTCATTCCAAGTTTACTATGCAATACAATAAAGAATCCAGGCAAATTGTATAGGTGTTGGCTTTTAAATAGAGTACAATGGGAGTGATTTAAATTGTGCCAGATTTAAATCCAAAATGATTTACATTGCACATATTTTAACCAGCATTTTGAACATGAATTACAGCAAATATTTTCCTAAAAGATAAGCAAGAAACAATTCTAAGAAAACCCCAATAAAATGAAATATTCTTGCAATGGAATTGAGAGTTTTCCTTTTACTCTGCAATTATTGATCAAAAATGTCTAAAAGGTAGATTCCCCTCGCACATATGTGCTAGTCATTCCTGATTCTAGGGGGCAGTGCTCATCTCTGTTTCAAAGCTGAAGATCCAGCGCTGTCCAAAGACGTTCTCCATGGTCATGTGGCCAGCATGACTAAATGTTGAAGGCGCACGGAATGCTGTTACCTTCCCACCAAAGGTGGTCCCTATTTTTTCTACTTGCATTTTTACATGCTTTCGAACTGCTAGGTTGGCAGGAGCTGGGACAAGTATCGGGAGCTCACTCTGTTACGTGGCACAAGGGATTCAAACTGCCGAACTGTCGGCCTTTCTGATAAACAAGCTCAGCATCTTAGCCATTTTGTCTAGAAAAATGTCTAGAAATATTCAAATATTGAGTAATAACTGAATACTGGCAGTGCACCTGCTGCTTTTCAAAAAGTCTGTATTATAAATACCCTTACATGATTATTATTGGAATGTATATTAATATTCCTGCAGACTTAAGCTTTTCTATTGACATACTGGCTTTCTTTTGTTTTAATTTTTTTAAATTAAACACAAACAAACAAGACACAACAAACACCATAAAAACATCTTCCATTACAGATTGTAAAAAGTGTGTCAATTGGTTACAAAAAACTTTTGTGTATCCCTTCCACCGTCATCTCCTATGATTCATATCAAATTATATATTTTACATCAGATATTCTCATTACTCCTGGAAGCACCAAGCCGAGCAAACGAGCCTGAAGATGACGAATGAGACTTCGTCGAAACGTCGCCAAGACACTTCCAATTTTACGCGGGAGAAAACCCGAATAACCAAAGACCTACATACATCAGATATATGTATATATATATTACTATCATCATACTTCATCCTTCATATGAATATGGTTGTTTTAACGTCCCTTTATAACAAATATTCCAAAGTTTAAGACAAAACCACATAATGGCATTCCATTATCTATTTTCAATATCATCCAACAACATTATATCTTTATAACACATTCAAAATAAAAATTACTTATGTTTGATAACAAAATTTTGCACCTCTTTTCTTAATCACTATTTACAATTTATATCCAATTTCCCTTTTATCATGTTGATACAAATATTACATTATTATCATTATCAGTCATTTATTTAAGAATAGTTTGACTAAGTTTATCTTACTTTTTCCCCTTTTTTCACCTTTTAAAATTTATACCAAATTTCCTCTTATCAAACCAATACATATGTATACATTGTTATCACTATCAATTATTTATCTAACTTCATCCATTATCACTTCATTTTTAACATAATGCTCTAATTTAACTAACTTTAACTAGTGTTTTGTTATTAGTTTTCATATCTCAACCAGTGTCTTTCCAGTAATAGTGTAGTCCTATTTCTTTTGCCATTTGTGGAATTAGTTTTCTGGTTATTTCCTTAATCAAATCTGTATGGACTTCTCGTCGCAACTTGTTGCTTGTTATATATCTTGTAAAATCTCAAGACCCTCCATCAGCTTCTTTAATCAGCTTATCAGGTTATCAGTAGTGCTTTTGTCAAAGTTTCTCTTCTTAAGTCCATCAATTCTTCTCTTTTTTCTTCTTCTATACCTTGAAATCTGGAGTAGAGTGCCTTTCCATCTATCTTCCCTTTCCATGTTCTACTCTTCCCATCTCCAACCACACCCAGTTCACTGTCAATATCCACAATTATCTTTGTTCATTTTTCCCTTGGGTTTTTAGAACTCTAACCTGTACTTTTTCCATTTGCTGAATATCTTCCATTTTTCCATCAGGTTTTACCACATTACAATTTATATTTTCAATATTTCCAATATCTTCTCAACTCTCTCTGTTATTCCTAATAATTTTTGAATTTAAATACTGACTCTTTATTGTCAGCTCCAGCCAGCCCAGAGGCCCGGAGCTACCATTCAGGGGAGAAAACAGGGCCAGCTGCCAGATCTTGTGCTTACCAGATGTAAAGTTCCTCTTCCACAAGCAGTCCAGCTGAAACATCTACAAAGCTCTTGATAACTGACTGAAAACAATCCATGATTAATTGCCGGGTGGTTTTTACTCATGACATGCATTCGCTGGTTCCTAGAAGACTTGCACAAAGCAATGCCAAAGGCAATAGCCTAAATAGCTGAATTGGACATCCTGTTATGAAGCCACTGCCGTGCCCCTGTAGAAGTTTTGTATATACTGTAATTACATGGATTATATGTATATGTTTACTTCTCCTCTGTCAGGTTTTCATCATACTGTATGTTAAATAAATAAATAAGAAGTAGAAAATGAATTAACCAGAAGAAATAAAGCCTTAAAATAACATTGCTAGGAGAAGCACCGGCAACTTCAAATATGCTGAAAATATCCTGATGGTTGAAAATAAAAATTTCTGGCTAAAAGAAAAAGGCAGTCTGCTGCTCAATGTTGAAAAAAAATCAGATCATCAAACAATGCCAACCTAAGACAAACAGCTTAAGAATTTGACATAAAAACAAACTTTTATCTTCCTAGGCTCAAATATTCACAAGGAAGGTAACAGTGGTGGGTTGCAGGCAGTACATCCAGGTACGGGAGTACCGGAGCCTGCCGGGAGCACTGGATACCGTTCCGGTACGGTGCTCTGGAGGGCCCACTCGCCCGCCCAAGTTCTTTACCGGTCTTTTAAGTGTTCAGCGTTTCACGCATGGCACATACAGTGCCTGCGTAACGCTCCGCTGAGCAGCTGGAGCATCACAGAGGTGCTAAGACGCATGTGTGTGCTGCACGCATCCAAGTAGACGCTGCTGGAACCCACCACTGGAAAGTAAGTAAAGCCATGAAATAAAGAGACATCTGTTATTTGAAATATTATGACAAATCTAAACAAAGTACGTATTAAAATGCAAATCATCATATAGACAACAAAGACCTTGTTAAGGGCATTATGTTATTGTAACATATGGCTATGAAAGTTGGAACAAGTTGGAGTGACAAAAATATTGATCCTTTGAATTATGGTGCTGAAGAGATTATCTTGGACTAGAAGTAGAAGAAATAATTTAATACCAGATAAAATAAAGCCAGATGTCACTGGAAGTACAAGTAATGAAGTTATAGCTTCAGAGTTTTGAACATATAATGCAAAAGAAAAGCCAAAAGTTCCTGGAAAAGAATATTTGGAAAAATGAAGGCAATAATGATAGATGTCAAGGTGTCTAGATAAAAACACTGATGAAACAAGCAAGAACTTAAAATAATGCAAAAAAGAACAAACTGTCTTCTCCAGAATGAACTGTCTTCAACGTGACCTCTTAGGTCGCTCAGTAGTGCATTTGTTGTGCATTATACAAGAGAATTGATAACAATGGGGTTGGATTTTTATATTTCAGCATGGTGTAGCAACCATCATCACAATGAACAATAAAAGCTATAATACAGTTTATTTATTGGCTATGCTAAATATATCAATTTTGTTTTGACAATTAGGCTTAGGACTGTTTAATATGTTATAGGGACATAGTCATATTCAATGTGGATCAATGATGATCTACCTGATCCAACACTCGTGTGTGTGTGTGTGTGTGTGTGTGTGTGTGTGTGTGTGTGTGTGTGTGTTGACTGATTAGCCTATAGGCCATATCAATGTACAGGTTCTAACACATATTACCAATAAAATTCTAAACAAACAATTTAAAATGAGTAGGGTAAAACACAACACATGGGAATTAATGCCATAGGCCAATGTACAAAACTGTGGAGATAACTCAGCAAGATTAGTGCCTCATTTTATGTACTTTGCGAAATATAGTACATGCATCAAATCTGTATCATTACAGGTCGTATATCTTATCCACACACATAAAAGCAAATTATGCCTATTAAACAATAATCAATATGGATAATTTAGGGAGCACTTCTTTAAGTAGAATTTATCTGGCTTCAACTCAGGGAGAGGATGCTAAGGTAACTATCTCTATGAAAATTCAAGGGGTCATGGATTGAAGTTTGCCATCCCCTTCCAGAGATGTACCTAACATCCCCCCACATCCCCACATACCATTAGTCTCCTGCAAGGCAATCAAATCTGTGTTGTTTGAACACAGCATTTAGAAGTTAGATCCGTTGGGGTTTCTGTTCACTTGATGTTGGTTTTTACATTTACGTTAAACTGCCAGCAGTCGCATTAAGCTGAATATAAAAGGTCTACTAATAAATATACACAATATGTGGATGCTAGCATTAAAAATATGGTATCCTAAAATCGTTTTCTGATAAGCAGTACTGTTCATGGGTAGTAGTTTTAGGACAATGACAATCTTAATGAATGAGCCTCATGGTTAACTCCAGCAAGCGTTCATGTAACTGAAAAGTGGAAAGCATACAATACTTGAAAACTTTAAAAAATGTGTATTACATTTGTATTAACAGACTCAAGCCACGGCAATATGCTTCTAAAAAGAAAACACTGAACTCAGTAACAATACAGATGGTGTAAAGCAGCCCCATGTTCTTAGTTGATGACAGCACCCTAGTGTTTTCTAAAACAAGCTGATTTTATCTTTCTTTGTGGTATCCGGTGTTTTGCATATTTCAGTCTGATCCTCTGATCCTCTGACTGTAACTTCTGAAAATTCTTCTCTGGGGCAGTCATTCTCTTTCTTTGCACGCAGATGCACTTTGCACGCCCACTCAATTCTTAAATCAGAATGTGCCAGTTCAGGAAACAGAGTAGTTTTTTGCAGATATACAGTAAGCCATGCTGGTATTGAAAGCTTTCCACTGAAGGTAACACATCTTATTTACTAGTCAAATAGAAAGGCTCTTTTCTGATGCATTCATTTTCCGCTTAGAGTTTGGTGTTGTTTGTTTGTTTTTACATAAAGGGATGGGTTAAAAAATATAGTTGAAGCAGCAAATTCTGTCCTATCACTACATTTGATCCATTAGGCTCATCTATGATAATTGAATGGAACCACATGATGTACAGTGATGCCCTGCCAATGAGAACTAAAGAGAGAAAACTACTGTAATTTACTAGTAAAATCAGGGTGTTGTGCACTGCAATGCAACAAAGAGGCAGAAATTGGTTACTTTCTGCCTCTTCAGGTTTGTTGCGTTGCAGTGCACAACACCAGGTCATGGTTGTCCCAAAGGTGTTTTTTCAAGAGGCATCTGGACTTTCTAGTTTTTCTTTGAAGACGTTTCATTTCTCATCTAAGAAGCTCTGACTTCCATTCTTCCATTCCCCACCATCCAGTCAGAGCTGAAGAAGTTTCTTGGATGAGATGCAAAACGTCTTCAAAGAAAAAACAGAAAGTCCAGTTGCCTCCTGAAAAAGCACCTTTGGGACACTGGATATGAAAGCCATTTTTTTTTGTATTATTAAATGAAGTCAAAATTACTTAATAAAGTATTTTGTTTTTTGCAAAAACTGTTAGCTATGCCCCCCATTCCCCTTCTGCATTAATGAGCACTCTATGAATATCTATTCTTTTATCGCAAAATCTGGTATACAAGAATTGTAAGGTGCTCAGAGTCACTTGATAGTGAGATAGGCAGCATATAAATATAATAAATAAATTATATTTGCAAGGAGAGATTGTGAAGAGAAAATGCTGCTCCATGCAATATCTAGAAGTAAAAAGGAATGAATGCCCATTTTGAAGTACATCTGCTTTTTATTTTTAGCAAGAGAATGAGCAGGCTTAGCAATAATTGACTTTATACAGTACATTGATATTTCCCTGGCAGCAAATTATTGCTGCCATGCAAAACAACTTACAACTTTTGATGTACTTGTGAATAGACAGTAATGTGTTCTACAATGGCAGAAATATTATGGTAGTACTAAAGTTTCTAACTTAGATGCTTCATTTTAATATTGATTTTTAAAAAGAATCTCAAAACTTAATGTCTCAGGTAATACAGATGCCTATATTTCATTTTATACATTTTAATTGTGAGTCGCCCAGAGTGACTTTGCAGAGTAAGATGGGCAGCATAAATTTTACCAAGATTATATAAATAAGCAGCATGGTGGTTTGCATGGTTAGGATGCTGGGATGGAGATTAGCAAACCCACATTTGAGACCCAAATGCTGTCATGAGTTGGGGTTGAGCTCCCTTCCTTCGCCCCAGCTTCTGCTGGGACATGGAAGGAGCCCCCATCTGGCATTCCCCAGGCAACGGTGATGTCACCGGCTAATTCTTTTAACCCGGACGCGCCTTGCGGCTTCTGACACAAATGCAATACAATTATATAAATGATGCAAAAAGCAAAACTCTGCCCAAGAGACTGATGTATACGAACCTTGCCAGATAATCAAGCATAATTATGCTGGGGCGTGGGTAGAAAGAATGGTACATAAAACCTTGTAAAATAATCCAGTGTTGTTATCTAATCTCCTGGTGTGTTGTAGTAATACTATTAAAATAGCAGGATTTCTGATGAATGCATGTGCTACAAAGTTAAGGAAAAATGCATGTTCTCCTAACTCTTTAATCCTAGGAGGGCCCTTCCTTTTAGTGCAAGATTGGTGCCGGGGCTCAGAAATTGTCTGTCATGTATTCGAAAAAGAAATCATATACTCATTGACAGAATGCAAACCAGATGAAATAACACTGCATGGTAAAAGAAAGAGAATATTGTGTTAATATACACAGCATGATCCTATGGAATACTCCATCACTGCTTTCGTCCTTCCACCACCACCCAGAAAATATTAAAATTTAGATTTGCCAATTGGCTTGGAGCCACAAGGAGTGCACTCACCACAGGAGGTGGTTGATGAGGTAAGAAGACCTTATCTTTGTACATCCATCTCTTGGTTCCTGTTTTTTTTTGCATAGTTTTAAATTTTTAATTTGCATGGTTTAAAATTTTAACTGTTTTTCCATTAACGTTTTTACGATTTGCAAATCACCCACAGTCACCTTATTGGGGAGATGGGTGGTATATAAATTTAATTAATAAAATAAAATTTATTAGGTAATAGTTTTCTCTTGAAAATGTCGCTTAAAATAGCTAGCAATCTCTTGATTTCTCTTTTGAATGACTAGGAC